ACAATGTTAGTGTTTTGTTAGTGGAGGCGAATATCTACATAGAGACTAGAAATATTCACAAAATTTTATAAACGAAAAAAATGTAAATCATGAAATATATTGAAACATACCCTGATGAGAAATCAGATTGTTATAAAAGGACCGTCTCTCTACTTCAATTCTGGTAGTTACGACAGTAGCAGACAATAGTAAACAAATGCTATTTAAATTAGCTATCTTTTATACGTGTTTTCAAAATTATTGTACAAGATATACAATCAAGATTAATGGAAAACGATTTTAGGAATTTCCACATTTGTCGATATTTACAATAAACAATTTTTGGTTATCAATATCCATCTATAGCAAATATGTTGATATTGTGGAGGCGTTTGTATTCAATTTGACTTCGGCTATGTAAGCGTTTAGTGGGGTGATTTGTCATATAACGACGAGACGCCACCTGGGTCTAGTATTGATAATAATGATAAAATTATAGCTACATCTGTGCCATTTCTAACATCTCAGCCACATGTGTTTTCCATTAGAATGTCACAAATAAAAAAAAACATCTAACGGCGGATTCTAAAATCACGCCGTCGTTGCAATAAAGTAAAAATGTTTGGCAAATGTTGTTTTGTTCAAATGATTTACTTACAGCACAGAGTTATCGAATAATTAGAAATATTTAAAATGAAATTAAAAAAAAATATGAATTCATAAAAAAATTGTGAACATTTGTCGAACACAATTTGAACATTGGTTATTAGACAAAGTATCGTACATTCACAGGTACACAAGACACTAAATTGATTCGAAATTCAAATTTTATAGATAAATCAGATGGTTGGATTGAAGTTGATTTTTTAAACAAGGCATGTAAAAAGGGGTGATGAAGATAGGACAGTCCCTTCGCTAGACAGAAAGCACGTGTGAGATTATCACTATATACAGTGTATTTGTTAAAGAAGTCTGCTAAAATTGCGAGGAAAATATTATAATATTATAAAAAAAAAAGATGTTTGTGTGATAGTTCTGACAAACGGCTTATTTAGGAATTATCAAGTTCGTTTGAATCCTGTATCTGACTTTTATTTGGTATATACTCTTTTTTGTTGGTTTTTTCGTGATTCAGTTTAGCATTCTTATGATATACTAAAATATTTGAAATGTCAGATTTAACGTTCCATATATGGAGATGCTTAGAGGAACCATCTTTAAAAGAGATGGTTACTAAGGTGAGTTATTTCAATGATTACATTGATAAACGGGTATTGAATTAGGGAAATTGTGTCTGGCGATGTACGTATGAGGTACAGAACACTATACACCTACGAGTAATGAAATCAACGCACTTTTAACTTATTTTAGCGCTTTGATGAGGGAAAGACTTCAATTAAGTAACAATATCTAGCTATTTTTAATTGAAAGATATAAAAAAATGTAGTCTAGGTCAGATTTCAACATTAAAAATTGAGTGGATAATGATATATTTTAATGTGAAATATCTATTGTACTAAAGGCTTTGTAATCTCACATCCGTCCTTGTACAATGTCACGCCTAAAAGCTTTCAAATAAATTTCTCTGTGACACAGACTTATTTCGTCTCAAGCGGTACATGTACGTTACAGATATAGTCGTATGACGTTATCAGGACGTCACTTATTTATGACGTCACAATAGTGTTATTTCACACTTGTTTTACAATAATCATGCCATGACCGTATTTTATATGACACAGGCCATTTATTGATAAATATTTATCAGTTGGTGTAATCTTGATACGTATGATATTTGAATATTATTTTGATATTCAACTTTAATTTACTACAGGATGCTATTTTAATTAATATTCTGTGATTTCCATGTACAACGCATTCCATTCAAGAATCATTTAAAATCACTCAACGGAAAAAATATACAGATTACTTACACAAGTTCCAACAGAGAAAAATTGCTTGCTAGACCCACCTCGTACCTGGTTACAGTGCAGTTGAAGATTGTTCTGCTCAATGATTCGATACGGAAATATATCTAGGGAAACAGCTATCATTTCAATTGATTTTAAATTAAATCATTGTCCTTTTAAAGACTCCTAATGCATAACTACAAGACCACTGTAAAGCATGGTTAACAGTTTAAAAGAGGATTTTTCAGTCAGCTTTATTGAGGATGAATTGATATGAGGGAAGATGAGAACCATGAAAATGAATCTGAGAGAGCATCTTCATTGTCTATTTCAGGACGACGTTTCAAAAAACCATTCCTTTGCGGTTTAAAGTTTTTGTAAAAGCGCTTTGAAATTTGAAAGATTTGATAAAAAAATCACATCAATTTCAAGTTTTTCAGACACATTAATTTATGACACGTCAACATTTTCGTATCGTATGAAATAATCACGTGACAGCCTCAGCATACGTATGTCATAGGTATTTATAAGATCAGGTGATAAGAGTAAAAAACACTGTTATATATACTATAGATATGAAGCCCCATCAAGTTGGTAAGCTTTTGGGGCGGCCAAGCCTACAAAACACCTGTAAGGTTTCACCTACAGTGCTGATCCAACTGCATATGCTATACGTTTGTCGCAGATACATCTTGTTTGACGTTGTGAAATCCGGTTCAGTTTTCCCGGAGTAGGTTCCATTTGAAGACTTCCTGTGAATTGGGCTTTTTTCCCCAACTTTTATTGTACAAGTATACAACGTTAGCGTGAGTTATCAATCACTTTCACTTAGCTCTTTCCATTGCGTGTCCAAACCGAACATTGAACCAAACTGGAGTATAATTGTGTCTGCTGTACTTTAGAAAGCAAATCCCTTATTCAAATCTAAGCTATTATTACAGTGATGTTTGGATGGTTCTTGACTAGATATGCAGGTATTCCATTCTGCAAGTATAAATGAAATCTTTATCTTCAGCAAGAGACAAATACATAGGACAGCGTGAATCCAATCATTAAAGAAAAACAATCTAGTAAGTGGATTGTTGTGAATAGTACATGCACGTTATAGACACTTGTCAATACATATAAGCTCATTTACTGGGCCGCACAAAGCTCATATCCTTAAGGATACAACCTGTCTGAGATGACGTTGATAAAAAAAAAAGATGGTCGTTTCATTGTGTTCACCGATGTTTGCAGCAGAAATGATGACGTATATTTTAGAACGTTTTAAAAAGGTGACAAATGAATTTGTTGTATCTACTCATTTCGGATATATACATACAATATAAAAGTTCATCATTTGTCCATTCTAACCCTCGTGTCCACCAAAGTCCATTTTTGTCCATTCATAACCTCGTGTCTATAAAAGTTCATCTTTTGTCCATTCTAACCCTCGTGTCCATTAAAATCCACCTTTTGTCCATTCTAACCCTCGTATCTATAAAAGTTCATCTTTTGTCCAATCTAACCCTCGTGTCCATAAAAGTCCACCTTTTGTCCATCCTAACCCTCGTGTCCGCAAAGTCCATCTTTTGTCCATTCTAACCCTCGTGTCCATAAAAGTCCATTTTTGTCTATAAAAGTTCATCTTTTGTCCAATCTAACCCTCGTGTCCGCAAAGTTCATCTTTTGTCCATTCTAACCCTCGTGTCCATAAAAGTCAATCTTTTGTCAATTCTAACCCTCGTGTCCACAAAAGTCCACCTTTTGTCCATTCTAACCCTTGTATCTATAAAAGTTCATCTTTTGTCCAATCTAACACTCGTGTCCATAAAAGTCCACCTTTTGTCCATTCTAACCCTCGTGTCCACAAACGTCCATCTTTTGTCCATTCTAACCCTCGTGTCCATAAAAGTCCACCTTTTGTCCATTCTAACCCTCGTGTCCACAAAAGTCCATCTTTTGTCCATTCTAACCCTCGTGTCTATTAAAGTCTCGTTCCCCAGACTAAATGTTGAGTCTAGGGAAACCCCTCCCTCCTCTCTCATGGTTTTGTGTCTTTTGTCTCCCCTCTGTTCCAGCCTAAATGCTGTGTTTGGCTTATGTCTCCCCTATCTCCTAGCCTAAATTTTGTGTTTAACGTAATCCTTCCTTAATCGACAACATATTTTTTTCGTCTCAATTCCATGTTCCAACTACATGCTGTTTCTCCTTATTACTCTGCCGTTGTTTTACGTCAAACCTCGCTACTCCGTCTAAATAGTGTCTTAGCCAAGCCTCACCACTCAGTATATTGTTGTCTTACGTCAACCCTCCTTTCTTCGCCTACGTGTTGTCTTACGTCAACCCCCGTTTCTCCGCCTACGTGTTGTCCTACGTCAACCCCCCTTTCTCCGCCTACGTGTTGTCTAACGGCAACCTTCCCTTATCCGCCTACATGTTGTCTAACGCCAAACCTCCCTTCTCCGCCTACATGGTGTCGTACGTCAACCCTCCCTTCACCGCCTACATGTTGTCTTACTTCAACCCTCCTTTTTCCGTCTACATGTTGTTTGACGTCAACCCTCCCTTCACCGTCTACATGTTGTCGTACGTCAACCCTCCCTTTACCGCCTACATGTTGTCTTACTTCAACCCTCCTTTTTCGTCTACATGTTGTCTTACGTCAACCCTCCTTTCTCCAACTGCATGTTGTCTAACGCCAACCTTCCCTTATCCGCCTACATGTTGTCTAACGCCAACCTTAATTTCTCCGTCTACATTTTGTCTGACTTCATCCCTCCTTTCTCCGCCTACATGTTGTCTTACGTCATACCTCCCTTCTCCGCCTACATGTTGTCTTACGTCAATCCTCGTTACTCCGTCTAAATGTTGTCTCACCCTCCTAGGCTCCCTTCTCCGCCTACATGCTGTCTTCGTCATACCTCCCGCCTACATGCTGTCTGACTTCAACCCCCCTTTCCCGCCTCCATGTTTTCTTGCAGCAACTTTCCCTTCTACGCCATATTTCCCCTTAATGTTTTTCACTCCCTCATCAAACAAACTATTTGATCAAATATATATCATCGGAATCTATTTCCTTTCAAGTCAATACTTTTCTCCCGACTTATATTCCCACTGTCGGTTTGCCTACCTCTCCTTACAACAAGACTGCAGTTTTAGAAGGTCATTTCTGAACGTTGGGTTCATAAACGCGTAAATAACAGGATTTGCCACATTGTAAATGAAATAAATATAAAATCCGAACTCATTGTATGTTATCCATTGCAAGGCCATCAGCCAAGCTGGTAGAAATGCTATGATGAAAACTACAGTCACAATGCAAAGCATGATCGCCATCTTAATATTCGCAAGCAGGATATGGTCTTTTTTCTCTTTCATCGTATTTTTAGGTGGCGCCGATTTCAGTGGCACAGTCTCGCCATTATTGAGTTTTTGTGTCACAGCCTTCGAACATGTTCCGTTTTCTTTGATTTCCACATTCATGTCAACAGTGGTGGTATCAGTACCGGACATAGTTTGCGAACTGGTGTTATTCACGGTCACGTGAGCTGTTTCATCCGTCTGGACCATTGTGGTCGAAAATTGTTTCACTCTTTTCTGTTTCTGTCTTTTCGCTCGGCGCGAAATCACCGACCTGTATATCAGCGAGTACAGGCCAATGACGAGCAACACGCAAATAAGGAAAAACGACGCGTAAATTTTCTGATAGACTTCCCGAAAGGAGTCATTCAAGATTTTACTGGTGGGCTGACAAACGCCAGTGTATATGATTTCACACTGTTCCAGATTTGACCCATTCGACAAGAAAGCAGAGATGTCCGGCAATGTCTGATACACGTCATAGTGGAGAGCTGTTATCAGACCAAGGACACACGCAAAAGCTCCTAGGAGAGATACGATCGTTTTAGCGCGGGGAACAGTCATTATGTGAACGAACGGATGGCATATACATATATAACGGTCCACAGCAATGGCCACCATGATGAAAGCTGACAAGGGCACGTTCGATGTGATAAGAAAATTGTAAAATTTGCACACGGCATCAAAACGCAGTACATAAGTCTCGAATATGGCCACAATAGTATATGGGATTACAATTAAACACGTGATGAAATCGGTTCCCGCCAAAGCCAAGATAAAAACTGATGACGTCAAATGATCCTTTCTCTGGGCATAAACATATATGACGAGTACATTTCCTACTGTTCCTATAACGCTGAATACAGCCAGCATACATATAATGGCGATAGACTCGGTTCCTAAGGGCTCGGATGGGTACTCAAATCTGCAGATGATGTCGGCTATTCTTGTGAAGTTATACTCCATGGGCTCAGCCAGGGTTCCGTTGGAGTAATGAACCTCCCCCATCGTAACACATAAGCTGGTATACGGTTTAAACCTGAAACAAAAAAAAAAACAAAAAATTGAATCAAATCGGCTTGTTATACAAGAGTAATGAAACCTTAACTTATCAGCACTATGACAATTTGTTAAATAGAGTTATCTTTAAATATAATACTTAGTTATCTAAGATTATAAAAACTGATGAAAAAAATAAATCTAGTCTCATATTAATTACTATATATTAATTAAGATAATGACCAAATATTTTTGCGATGTTGATTGGAAAGTATGAAATATAAATTTTCCACAACTCTGTATTTTTGAAACCACGTCCAGTTTTCCAGTGTATTTCTCTATTTATTTACAGTATGTACAGGTAAGCATATTTACAACTCAATAAATAAATAAATCCATCACCAACTCGCTGTATATTATACTGCATAATTAGATGATATATTGATGTACTTTCATTTCTTAACCAAACAGATCAATGACACAATATAATCCAGTTTCACAACGAAGTAATTTCGTATTCTCGAAACGGACACAGATAAATCATTATAGCTAACTCGATACAGCATTGTTCCCTAGGGAGAAAGGACAGGTTGCCCTACTTCCTTTCTACACCTATGTGGACCTATGTTTGTTAGGATCCCGCGTGCCTGTTTTCCAGGTTTACTGGTCTACATTAGGGTTTTGGCCGATATTTGTTAGAATTCCGCCTGTTGCGAACCTCGGAAGAAGTGCGTTTAATTGGGGGTTTGATGAGCTATCACAATAGCATACACGACAATATGTAACACAACTGTAAGTACGCTTTTCACTCGGAAGTATTCGCATTATCCTCCCATCCAATCAGTCTTTATCTGAATAACACTTACAGGAGTCTAGGTTCATTCTAGATCACAAGAAAATAATATGGATATGGCGCCATGATCTATGTTACAACAACGCTTTCTGCGTCGCACGTTTCATGTTTACATCAATCGTCTGTATGAATAAGATTTTAAGGAAGCACGTTTAGTAAATGTATAGAAAAAAGTTACAGTATATAAGATATATACGATTATTGTAAAATAAAAAGATGTAGCATACATTTCCCTGCACATAATTCTCACCAAAATATTGCATTCACATCAACAATAAATGCCATAGGACAAAAAAATCATTAAAGTTATATTGTGTTGAGGAAACGTGTGTGACATACGTGTCCCTTCTGCCTGTCAAACTCATAGGAAGAAAGCTATTTACTAGGATATGTTTGCAGATATTTGTCTGGTCAGAACAGCAGGGTCTAATATGGGCACCGGATGACCTGGATCCGCACAGACGGTCTTGTTATTGCCGGAATTACTATCGACGTCCAGAAATAACAACGACTATATGGAGAGAAACATTTCGAAATCTTAAAACTGCTAACACACTTACGACTCATAACATTTTTTATGGGATGATGTTAAGCTGGACCACTTCAGCCTCCAGAAAAAAATCCCTAATTATGAGAAACAGAATATATCTTTTGACACATCATAGACGTTATTAAACGTAAATATGGTAAAAAAATAAAGCAAAGTGTGATTTTCTAGGAAATTGTTATAGTAAAAAGTGTAATAAAAGTATCCGAACTGAAAATGTCCTAGTCTCCATATATTGTCGATAGACGTGTTTTACCGAGGAAAATTGAGATTCACACAATCTCCCTTGTGATGTGTTAATTAGACGCGTCTGACCATGTTCACAGCCAACTAAGTCACCAACTACTCACGTGATCAAACTGACCACCATCCCTACATTAAAACTGCATTAGCGGTGACAAATCAATTAGGCGTTAACGAGCAGCGAACACGTGGGACTCTTAACTCCGTTATAGTATTTGCCTAGTTTGAATCAATTACCTTCTTAGGTACAGACAACAGCGTGTTGATTTATGAGAAACGAGACACAATTACTAACACGTCACAGACCGGTTTCTGTCTCTCTGCAGAGAATGCACATATAACTTTCTTCCTTTGTGGAAAAGCGAAATTTAATTCTCTCGACTGTATAAAACCTCTTTTAACTTTCTCACTCTGTACAGTTGGAATTTTCACAAGAATTAATTCACACGGACAATATATGAAGTACATAATATATCAACTCCTACTTGTTATAATTATATTGCAGATGATATTGGTGAGGTGACAGAAGTAGACTTTCGACAAGACATCAAAATACCTGCAGAAAATTAGCTGTTAATTGAAATAATTTATAAATGATGAGATAACAACTCGACATTTCGACTTACTAACTCAAAATTTCGGATTACTAACTAAAAATTTCGAGTTGCTATCTCGAAATTTCTTGTTAATATCTCAAAATTTCAGATTACTAACTCAAAATTTCGGATTAGTAACTCGAAATTTCGGATTACTAACTCGAAATTTCGAGTTAAAATAAAACACAACGTGGCCGGAATACGCTTCCGTAGTTTAGAATATTTTCACTGATTTTTTTATTTTCATGGGACATCTATTAATTAGGCTTCACGAAATACGTGTACCAGATAAGTTTGGAGTCGTACATATCAACATAAGGTTTGTGGAGCTATAGTTACGATTAAAGGTAAAGAAACAAAACAACCACAATGAAACCTAAGCATTAAAGCAACTAAATGGTTACATTTCCTTGTTGTTTTACGTGCGCTTGATTTCGGGCAAGCATTGAAATACTTTAAATTAGATTTTTTTTTACAAAATTATAGCACTATTTGACAAAAATTGATAAAGATTATCAGCTTCAAACTAACGCTAGTTGACATTCACCGTTGTGTTTACCATCATTTGCTATTTTGATCGGAAAATGCCGAGCTCCTCCCATTGCCCTTCGGAACATCTTTTTAACCCGCCGGTTTGTTATGATTTCTGAATTGTCCCGCGTCGCGCATGCATAGAAAAAAATTGCTTTCACTCTCCGAACGATAATGACATAAATTAGTGTTGAGTCTTTCCTATTTCTATTTTAATTTTTTGACGCTTTTGATTAAATTGTTATGCAAACTTTTAAATATTATAATTAACAGAAAGCGCACAACTTTTAACAGATATTTAAATGTTATGTTTTTTATCAGTTATGAAATGAAAACATAACCATTTAGTCTCTTTAAGATACAATGTATCATTATTGTAGAACATGATCAAAGCTATAAGATACACAACATGCCAATCTCTACCAGAGTTATCGTTCCTTTTCAGTCACAATACACCCATGTAAACGGCGCACGGAATACAAATAGTTGAAATGTGGTCAGGGTCAAAGTTTGACGCCATGGAAAACTATGGCGGCATCCATGACAACACCAATGATGGACACATCTGTAGACTGTTTTGTTTCACATCGATCAGTGTAAAAAATATTTTGGATTTTTAAGGTGTCATGTGCCACTTATACTGTTGTCTAATTTTCATCAGTTATCACTGATGTTACAGTATCTGTAAACAAGACGGTTGGTGACTGTTTACTCAAATTTTTTTCTGCGAAATAATCATTTACGTTTATGACCATATAAACTAATTGAGTCATTTTTTAGATGGACAAAGATCGGTTTTCAAAATAATAATACAAATATCAAAACAGAAAATGATGAAATACTTTATTATTGAATGCAAATAAGTTTGTGTAGTTTCTTGAAATGGCGTTAGCTGTTTACAGATACACATGAATTATACACAGACAGTCCTTTATTTTATTGATGTGTTTGAAAAACATAAAATAGCAATTATCGAACTCGTTTGGCTTGGAAGCATTCAAAAGATTTTCTAGTGCCTGGCATTGCTTAACAATACCTCCATCAGTGTTTTTACTGGTAAATATTAGTGAAAGCCCTTGCATGCTGACAAAATTCTTATAGTCCCATATTGTTTCTTGTTAGTCGTAAACAAGCATGGCGGTAGTTCTGGAATTAGACCCGATGGCCTATCGATCCGAGGATGCAACAGACTATTGTGAACTTACTATGGCTTCCGAAGCAACCACGAACGTTAAAAAAATATTTAATAAAATATATGATTAACTTAATCCACGAGAATTTTATTTTACTTCAATCTTCAAATCGCTCTTTATTCGATTGTTAATGACGGTTCTAGACGATCTGTTCCAGTAAAAAACGTGATGGACAGGTACGCGGTACCTACGTCTCGTACTGGTGTACTGGTAACCTTCGTTTAAATAACCATTTTCTTAAGCTTTCCTGACGCGTGACTTGTTACAGCAACCAAAATTATCAGAGTGTGAGATCACGCAGGTCAATAATGCATGTGATACGCCTCGACAAAATGGCCGTTCCGAAATACATAACAGTCCGGAAGCGATTTCAAAACGATACGCTTCATTTTTTTACTTGCCGATTTTTCCTTCATATAAGCCGCAAGTCCGACCGCCAAGGGAAAAACCGCGGCTTTTAACCCGGTATTTCAGCGCGGAGCAATTAATTTTGCGTACACGTAAGCCGTAAGGCAATAGTCTTAACGACAACGTCAGGTAAACAAAATGTGAACTACAAAACCGTTGAAATATTGATGGTCTTATGTTCAATCAATGTTGCAGGATAGAATATAAAAAGAATATATGGTCAATTTCTTAAAACATAAACTGTATTTTGGCATTGTGAAGGAAGACACAAATAGCGAGTCTCTTCACTGGCCATGTATTCTCTATATACAATTAGAATAGCGATGCAGCAACAGAAACAAACACTGACTGTCATCACTAATGTACCATTACATAATATACACACGAATTAAAAATTAAATGTCACCGATGATTTCTGGAAATACAGTGAGAATGACGCTGTCCGAATTTTTTTATTTTAATGTTACTGTATCAAAACTATCGTACAACAATATAAATTGAAACCATGGCATGCGGGCTGACAGCAAACCGTTGAGACTAAAATCGCTAGAGTGATTACAAGCAATTAACGGGTAAACACATAGCATATAAAGGTTACTGAGGCAGGCCTGACACAAATGTACGGAAGGAGAAACGTG